ATATGCAGAAGCTACATAGAGTATTATCAACCAGCAAACAGAGCATAAACCAAGAAGGATGTCAAGGTATCTATTAATGGACAACAAGGAGGCAACAAAATGTATAATTCTTCATTAAAGGAACATATCAACTTTGAAACTGCTGAGATGTTTTCTGGTTATGGATGTAGAAGTCACATTTACTACATAAGGGCTGAAGTGCCCACAGCATGATGCTCTAGCATTAAGTTGCCTAGCCTAAAATCTCATCTCCACGTTCAATTGCCTATCACAAGGCACTTGGTTTGAGAATCTAATTCTCATCTCTAAATTGTCGAGCGTTTCAGTTAAGAAATACAGGTAGTCCTCAATTTACAACCATTTGTTTAGTGACTGTTCAAGGTTAAAATGGCACTGGACAAAAAATGACCATTTTTCACATACAACGTTTGCAACATTCCCATGGTCGTGTGATCAAAATTTGGGTGCTTGGTAACTGACATTTACTTATGATGGTTGCAGTGTCCTGGGGTCATGTGATCTCCTTTTGTGACCTTCTCGCCATCAAAGTCAACGGGGAAGCCAGATTCACTTAACCACCATATTACTAACTTTTACAACTGCAGTGATTACTTAAAAACCGTGTGGCAAGAAAAGTCATAAAATGGGACAAAACTCACTTAAGTGCTCCCACTTAGCAGAGGAAATTTTGGGCTCAATTGTGGTCGTTCAATCAAGGGCTACCTGTATAGTATATGCAAATATTCAGTCCGTCCAATGACTCAAAAAGCTTTCCCAAGGAATTCCTTTTTTTTTTTTTAATTTGGTACAGATTAGCAAAAAGGAAGTCCTATGGTCGGTATTAACGACTGATCAGGATCCAAAAATTGAATTCAACTAGCCATATCAGATGACCCATTGTTAGTCACAGGTATCCTTCCTGATTAGATGTTTACAAACAGATAAAGTAGCTTTATAACCAGTTGCACTGCTGATCTATTTACATCAGTACTGTCTGTTGCAGGAGTGGGTCTCTGTAGTCTCAAACAAAAGATTTCTTTCTTTTTTTCCCCCCTCATCCCAAGATCTTTTTAGAATGCTGGAGACTAAATCCACGAGGGGTGCAAAGGAATGGCTGCAGAAGGACACAAGGCAGAAAAAGATCTATTTGAAGAACAAATGTCAGAAAATAAGGATAAATGAAGCAATAATCAGGCAGAAATGCTGACTGCTTTAGGGTGATCCTTCCAAATATCTTTGGGAAGTGATTGGCAGAGGCTGTGTACCTATCTGAAAAGTCATTTTCTCTTATTCCAGGAAGCTGGTCATTTGGCACTGCGCAGTCAGCATTTAACACAAAACACTTTCTCTCTTATAAAATTCTTGTAGAAAAATGGAAATAATGTTAAAGCACAAGAAGACAAGGCAAAAGACAGCCTCTGCCTTAAACTAAGTTGCTGCTAAAGCTGCCAGCGGACTAAGGTGTCACAACTTTCACCTCCATTTCAGCTGAAGGGCCCAAAGATCTAAAGCCAATCTTCCAATTCAAAACACCACACAACTTGCTTTGATAACCCAATTCTGCTAACTGTACGGCCTGCTTGACCATCAACTGCAAAACAGCTGCATAAAAAGGTGTGAAAACTGTGAAGGCACAAAAACCGCCTTAAGTTTTAGCTTTAGATTTTTCTTTATAAGTTTAGCTGCTGTGATGCCAGCATCTTCTGGGTTCAGGATGCCTAACCACAGTTCAAAATATACTTTTTCAGAGTCACCCTTGCTCTGCGGTTCAGGGTTTTGGGGCTGTGGTGGTTGTTTTTTTGCCTTGTGCTATTATTATCTTTCCAGATCAATATTGAGAAATAAAAATGAAGAACGTTGTTAATCGAAATGACCTTCCCTCCACCAGTCAAGGTTTATCATACTTCATCCAGAAAGAGACAATTCTAGGAATCAAGCGAGCAATTGCACAATTTCATTCCCTGTTAAACCAATTGCTGGAAACAAAGAAAAACACACACATAAAATACACTGTCTCCAATGAAGTACATTAGCCCCTAGTAACCATCGTTGGACTGACAAAAACCAATGACCTTCTGGGATTTCTAATGACTATAACCCTCGATGCTAATAGCCAACTAATAAAGCCTACAGTGAATACAGTCTAGATTAGGGGTGTCAAAGTCGATTTCATTGAAGGCCACATCAGGTTGTGTTTGACCTTAAGAGGCGGGGGGAGCATGGCCAACATGTCACTCGTGTTGGGGGCGCCTGTGGTGGCCCGAGCCCTCTGCCAGCAAAAACAGGCTCCCGAGCTCCATTTTTGGCTGCCACGGCCTCCTGCAACCCTCTGCCAGTGAAAATGGAGCTCGGGAGGGCCACGCGCTCCATTTTCATGGGCAGAGGGTTGCAAGAAGCTGTGGTAGCCAAAAACAGAGCTCGGGAGCCCGTTATTGCTAGCAGAAGCACCGCAGGCCGGTCCTTCACTGTTTCCAGGGCAGCCCCACAGGCCAGATCTAAGTACCCTGCGGGCCAGATCTGGCCCCTAGGCCTTGAGTTTGACACCCCTGGTCTAGATGCCTCAATCTTGAATCAATGTGTTGTGTCGCTCCAATCTCTTCCACACATACGGGTTGATAAGGAAAGAAAAGATCTTCTCTGCAAGAACCCAGAACAATTTCTCATCTCTTGGGATTTCAAAAGCCCCCAGATAGACTGAGAAGTTCAAGACAGGTATGGATTCTTGCTTCAATAAAAGTCAAGGCATCTATCATTCATGCAGTTGGATCAACGCTTCAAGTCTCACATCGACCCATGAATGCCAGGCTATTAGAGCTTGACTTCAGACATACCGTAGACAGAGCAATTCCCCCGGTGCAGATTCTCCAGTTGGCAACATGAAAGCGAAGAGAACCAACAGTTGGTCTATAAAAGGTTATTTGCCTGCATTGCTATATCACCTTTTTTCTTGAGGGTGGAGCATTCCTCTAAAAGGCTTTCGCCGCATACTTTCACCTCAGAAGCCAAAGTGCTTATTTTCTAAGGTTCTTTATTTCTTATTTCTTCCAGTGGTTTGAAAGGGTATCCTTTTGCAAATGCAGAGACTAAGACAAGTCCCACCCCCCCCTACAATCTCCATTGCAAATGCAACGATAGTATTTGGGATCGCCATTGACTGTAATCTTAAGAAATAACAAAAACATTTTACAGTGTGTCGCCGGGCAGCTTAGCAGCAAGCTAGTATTGACAATACTTGAGTTTAAAGCAGTCTGACTTCTTGTCAAAGGCAGGAGAGACATTAGCACCTATTGGTCATATCGGGCACGAAAACCAACCACATAAATCACAGGCGTACAGTTTTGTGACACAAGTAAAAATTCTACAGGAACTCCTGCAAAAAAGTGACAAAAATATTTTAGAGTACTGGGGAGAGAGGGAGGGAGGGAGGGAGGAAGGAAGATTGGTAGAAACTATTGTCAGCTCTAATATTAGTGTAAAAATGGATACAATCTACTGGTAATTCCAAGTGTTGTTTTTTTTTGAGAGAGTATGCTACATAGAAAAAACCCCCCAGCCTTTCTCCTTTTCACCCTGATGATATGCCAATATATCTCTGCGTTTTCAGGTATTTTGTGTGTGCATGAGGAGGAAGCAAAGGAAGTTTAAAGGGTAGCATGGAAAGATCTTTAAATAATGGCGTGTGGGGGGACAGGGAGAGCTGTAGCTGCTGTATTTGGATAATGCAGAGATCTTCAAATATGGCAGCTTTAAGACTTGTGGACTTCAACTCTATACTGGCTGGAGAATTCTGGGAGTTGAAGTCCGCAAGTCTTAAAGCTGCCATGTTTGAAGACCTCTGGGGTAATGAATACCCCAAAGAGAAAGCTAGGCTCTTATAATTCAGAAAGAATTAATTCTAGAAAAATCTGCGAATGACACCTGGAATCCAGTCAGGGTTGTAAAGACCCAAGCAGAAGAGACTGAGGTTTCTCCTCGCCTTTTTTTCTTAAGCACAAACAAGGGAGAGTAAACGTGCAGAAGAGTGCCAGATAGCTAATTAAAGATTCTCTGCCATGTAAGCAAAGATTGTCTCAAAAATGGCTCAGCTGAGAATAACTTTTCAAAGTAGCCTGGTAGAACATTTGATGACAGCATGTAGAGCCTGCCATCAAAACATCTACAGAGGGCTCAGAGGAGGTTGCCCCCCTCCCCCAATCTTATGAAGCTTTGAAACTCAACAAATTTACCAGATATCCTCAATGAAGCACAGTGTATCTATCACTGTTTGAGGGAACCTTCAGAAACCCAGTGATGGCAGGGGTGGGCTGCTGAGGGTTCGCAGGGGTTCGGGAGAACCTCTAACTAAGATTCTGTGCAGTTTGGAGAACCCCCAAATCCTACTCCTGTCTGGCCCCGCCCACCCCGCCCCGGAGTCCCCATGTGTCCTGTTTTGGATTCAGGTAAGTGCAGGGTGCACGCAGAGGCTCAGGTAGGGGGAAAATGGGCCTACTGGAAGTTTGGGAAGGCCAGAAACGGGCTTTTTCCGTTTCTGGCCTCCAGAGGAGGCCATTTTCACCCTCCTGGAGGCTCGAGGAAAGCCTCTGGAGCCTGGTTAGGGCAAAAACGTCCCCCCCACCATGGTGCAGGAGGCCGACTAGGCCACGCCCACCATGGCCACGCCCACCCAGCAACCAGGCAGAGTACCTCTTGATAAAATTTTTGAAGCCCACCCCTGAGTGATGGGTTGATCCAATTAAGGTTTGTTCCCCAAAACAGACTACTGATGGGAGATCTGCCAAGTAAAGATTTTCCGTTCATGAATTCCTACGTGATGGAAGGCAGCATGGTAGTCTCGTTCAAAGTGGTACAGAACAAGTATTGTCTTTGGGGGGGGGGGTTAGAAATGTACTTGTTACATTACTAGAGGGCTGGTTTTCTACATACTTTATGTAATGGTAGAATTTCTGAATACATCTCTGCAACAAAATTCCCATGCATACAGAAAACTAGCACTTGAGGGAGAAATTTTCAGGGCTTTAATGCTTAAAAACATTACCGCTCGCCATCGCCAGCTGCTGTTTGCGATGGCGCATGCCCGATTTCTACTTCCAAAATCCATTAGCTTAAGTTTGCAAAAGTTGGAACATGGTTATTGGTTTGGGCTAACCTAAATGGTAAAGCCCAATTGCCTTCAAGCAACGCAAGTGTTTACAATTTATTTAAACATCAGTCAACAGAACAAAACTTAAACTGCACTGAGAAGCAGCAGAGAAATTACACCACTACGCCGCCTAACATCAAGACCACATGAAAAAAAAAAAAAAAAAAAAGAAGTCAGTTTTGATTGTAGTGGCTTTTGGTAGTCTGAGTACTGCAACCTTAAAGGAAAATAGGCTCTCCCACACTGTTCTCAATACTTTCACTTAACTCTTACTGCCATTGTTCCCAGCAGAAATAATAATCATGGTGGTAAAATAAGAGTAGATGTGGCACAAAGCAAATGTAAAATTACACTTCTGAAACACTGAAAGAACTGGCAAGTCTCTCTTTCTCCAATGGTTTTAGGCCAGAAATTTCTACTATAATTTAGCTCCACATTTGCAATACTGGACAAAAAAAAAAAAAAATGAAAATCATACCCAACCATCCCTACATCTAGTCCTAAAACCTCCTGCTTGTGCGAAAGGAGATATAACACAGCCTGTTCAGACCTGCAGCCGATACATTCAAAAGCCCAATGTCTACAGGCCAGGTTCACTTGAAATGTCTCTGACTGCAGAAATGCTTCGTGACAATTGCAGTAGAAAATATTATTTGCCAGGGTTTTTTTTATCGAGTTCTTAGGCTCATAAGCAGCCGGGGGATTCATTTAAACCAACAAAAATAACAAGAGGGACACGATGTTAACAATCTCGCTGGGTTCCATTAACGATCCCCCAAAGGAGACCAATACATAGAAGAATACAGAACGTTGATTGGCAGACATTAACCCCCCACCCCCCACCCTCAAGATGAACACCGTAAAGAGGCACCGAGTCTTCAAAAAGTATATTCAGAAGAGGTATTTCCTGCCTCTGTGGCACAAATGTGGCAATAGCCACTTGGACAACATTCTTGGATTATCTGGGATAAACTGGGGATTGCATCTGTCTTCTCGAACCAAGAAGCAATGCCTCCATGCTTGGGATATGAAACGATCTTTCTCCCTCTCTACTCCGTTGGGAGATTATTTTTTAAAAAAATCTCTTCCAAAAGAGAAAGAGCATATTAGAGAAAGGATGTTTCTCCAGCTCTCCCTTCCTGTGGACTTGGAACACTCCTCCAGCTGTCACGTACTTTTTCACTCTGGTCAGCAAAGACGTGACAATAATGGCAATAAACAGGACCAGGGGCTAGTAGATGACAGCAAGCCACTAGGTTTTAGAGAAAAGAGAGGCAAATGCTACAGGCAAGCAAAGGCCTTTGTGTTTTGTCAACAAGTAACCCGGGGAGAAAAAGCTGAGGGGAAAACTTCTGAACCCAGTTCTTGAAAAAGAAAGAACAAAGAATTAAGGGATCACATTCTGACAGCCCTTGGGCAATGCATATGTATGAGTCAATAGATATTTATATTTAATAAGTATATAAAATAGGATCAAAATAAAACCAAGTAGATTTACAGATTTTAAAATAAAAAGGAACCAGAAATATCACAGTACAAGAACAGCCCAAGTGCCGCCATATCCCAGATGTGCACTTTTGCCATGTTTACAAAAGTACTGTAGAAAAGTGTCCCAGAGGAAGGCCAGTGATGGTCTATATTCTTCTCAACGGGGCCTTAAAAGATCTCCTCCGGTATTTCTTAACACGGTTTTGTAATCCAATTGTTGCTCAGCTCTGCAGAATTTCCCCCCAATTGCCAGCCAGGAGCTGAGCCTCAGCTGCCCGAGGAGTACAGACGTGTGCCTATGCCCTCACCCAGTCCGAGAGACTCGATGCTCATTTGATCATCCTCATGGGGTGGCCTTGGAGCTCTAACTCAACCGAATGACTCAAGGAATGCTGAGAGATTGAGGCAATGGCTGAATTCTGATCACAGGGGACAGGTTAACTTTAAGGATCTGTTGTGCTCTCCTCCTCAGTTCGTCATCTGAACAGCTGTCCACTTTGATGGCCTGGAATGTCAGCAGGTTTAACGCTTTCGAAGCCAGTTCTGGTTTATTAGGCGGTGGGACAGAACCGGGCCTCTTTCTACACGGTAACTCTTTTCCTTCATCTGCACTTCTTTTCTCCCCAATCGCCTGCTGATGGCTGCCACCACTTCTCCATTCAGTTTTGGCCACTGATGGTTCCTTAATTCTGGAGGCCCCCGTGCTACAGCTCTGGGAGTTGCTCCCAGAAATTCGGCCGTTCAGGATTCCAGATGCTTTACAAGCGTTGCTTTCCTGAAGCACCCCACCCTTTGGTCCTTTTATAAGGCTCATTGTGAGAGCAGCAGAGTCTGGCACTTTTGTTATTAAATGCCTGTATCCTTTGGGGTCCAACTGATTAGACGATATCTTAGTGGCCTTCACAGCTGAAGACTGCACGGATGCACTGGGTGCTTTGAGCCGCTTAAGGTCCGAAGGAGACATCTCCAGGTGCCCTTGTTTGCATTTTGATTCCAAACAAGAGGCAGTGGCTTTCAATGGGACTAAGGCTTCCAGCACCACTGACAGCCTCATGGCCGGATAGACGCCAGGGTACATATTAGCCGGGAAGCTCATTGCTGAGGCTTTGGATGTGCCCGAACGTGTCCGTTTCAAGGAGTTCAATAGGAGGTTTGTGGAGTTACTGCTCTTTGACATTGGCTTTGCAGATTCTTTAGAAGAACTCACTGTAATCCCCGCCAAGGGGGCAGATACTTTTTCTATAGTTACTATGTTCCTTGCTGGAGCCTTGGCAGACTCTGAAATGGGAACAGCTGCTTCCGAAACGTCTTGAATATTGCCTTTTGTTTGGCTAGGTGCATTGGCAGTGCAGGAACTGTATCCATACACGTCTTTGCTCCTTAGGACTGTGGGTTGGTAGCCTTCTTCTTTAAGGCCTTGGAGAAAAGATACTAACTGGGTCTCCGTGTCGGACAGGTCCTTGGACATGGGGTTAAACACCCGGAGAGCTTCTTCCAAGGCTTTCTGTCCTGCAGAGGAGATCCTTGACCAGGAATGGACAGCTTTCTCTTCCACATTGTCCACTTCAACATTCATGGCATTAGGCTGGTAGGAGCTTCTAGTAGATCCAAACCACTGGGAAACCAGCATAGGTCACCTTAAAGGGAAAAGAAGAAAAAGCAATTAATGAATTTAAAAAACTCAAGAAACATTTACGTGGAAGATTTTAGGAGGTGAGGAGAACTGGTAAAGCTTTTAAAGAGACTTTTTCATGGAAACCAAACTTCACATGTACTATTAGACCTTTCCTCCTTTCTGTTGGTTTTTTTTTTTAATTAATTAATTTCTGGCTTCAGTTATGGTGTTCATCTACACATCCTGATACAACAGTACCTAATTTCATGTCTGCTTCTGCAGGATTTCTCTTTTAAGTATTAAATTCAATATATCCAGAAGGTTGTTTGAAAGGGAGGGTCCTTTCTCTCTGTTCTGACCCAGCCTTAGCAGAAGCAAGAAACAGGCTCCTTGTCACGAAAACCTCCTCTTTATTTATCTCTTGTGAATTAATGGCATTCACCCATTGAAAAGTCCAGGCAATAGTCCTTCAAAGAGCTTATCAGTTCCTTGCGATAATTGCAAGGCCAGGAGCTCCCAGCCTAAAGGCTGCAAATTAGGTTCTGGCAAGCAGTCTTTGTAGCACAAACGCAATGAACCAAATCTTCCAAAATATGAACTGTTGTCTCCTACGATAACCACTCCCCTTTCCTTCTATTTATTCTCCAGCCAGAGAGGGGCTATTCAGCGTCCACGTGTGCTTTGCTTCCCAAGTCAACTCCTTGTCCTCCGCTGTTCACCTCTCCTAACTGCTCTGCGCATATGTGCATCTGGAACAGGCCCCAGCTTTTCTTCCTCCTCACTCATCTCAGCCTCCAAAGGCAGCTGCCTCTCCGGTGGCTGGGAAATGTCAGATGGCCCTGGCTCTATCTCTGCATCCAACACAGAGCATCCATCAGAGCCTTCCCCAGATTCCAGAACTGGCCCAAGTTCCTCCCCAACCTCCTCATTGTCCAAGTCTGCTGCCAGCTCTGCTGGCAGCTGGCTGGCCACAACACTCTCCTCCACCCTGCCAGCTATGGAATTTTCTCCCTATCCTTTTGCCTGTCAAAATTTGCAGGCTTTTTGTTGGAGATGTAAATGTGATGATGCAATGTATTTTCATATATTTATTTATTTATTATTTAAATTTCTATACCGCCCTTCTCCAGAATAGGACTCAGGGCGGTGAACAGCCAGAGTAAAAAACAATACATACAAAATTTAAAAACAATTTAAAATAATTAAATATTATTGGCCATAAATTAAAATAACCCAATTTAAAATCAATTTAAAATTAACTCAAGCCAGCCATATATGGTGGACATGTAAGAAAATTAAGACATTTTGGATTAAGATATGGTGGATTATACAAAATATTCTTAAAAGGAAGATAAAATTTACTCCATAGTTGTTTTTATTGGGTATAACTGTAGATTGTACAGTTACAGAGACTAATTTGATTTTGAATTTAATAACTATCAAGAGCCTTGATAGTACAGGGGTTTAGTGCACCCTGTAATTAACACAGCTGCCTGCAATTTCTGCTGGTTCGAATCTCTCCAAGGCTCAAGGTTGACTCAGCCTTCCATCCTTTCTAAGGTAGGTGAAATGAGGACCCAGTTTGTGGGGGCAATAAGCTGACTTTGTATAAAACATACAAAAGAATGAAGGCTATTGCTTAACGCATTGTAAGCCGCCCTGAGTCTCCGGAGAAGGGCGGCATATAAATCAAATTAAAAAAAAAACAAACCTGCAGCCAGACTTTTGTTGGCGCAATATTGGAAGAAGGAAGAACTACCTACTATTGAAGAATGGACATTAAAAGTAGCTAATTTGGTGGAGATGGCTAAAATCTCTGCATATTTGAAGGATCGTTCGAATGAAAGATACATACTGGAATGGAGAAGATGGATTGACTATATACAAAACAAATATGGAACTAAAAAGTTGCAAATAGCTTATGAATGAAATATTTAGATGATTTTGCTTTTTATTCTGACATTTTGGTACCTATGGGGAAGTTAAAGAGTAAGGGGGAGTTAAGAGCTTATAGTTAGTTTGTTTATGTTAGATTATGTTTGTTAAATGCAATATCCTGTATTTTGCTCTGGGAAGTCGGGGGGGGGGAGGGAGAAGGGAATGGGTGGGGAGAGGAGAGGGGAAATTTGTTTGTAAAACATTTTAAAACTTTTCAATAAAAAAAAATTGCAGGCTTTTAGAATACGTTACTATATAAATAACCAGGCTTAGGGCCTGGTTATTTACGGGACCGCCTACTACCACCAATAGCCTCCCACCGGCCAGTACGCTCTCATAGAGAGGGACTCCTCCGGGTGCCGTCAGCCAAACAGTGTCGACTGGCGGCCCCTAGGGGGAGAGCCTTCTCTCTGGGGGCACCTACCATCTGGAATGAGCTCCCCCCGGAGATACGGAGGATCCCGGATCTGCGCTCCTTCCGCCGTGCTGTGAAGACCTTTTTATTCCATCAAGCGGGCTTGGCCTGATCTCTTCCCTTTTTAAATGTGTAAATTTTAATCTGTTTTTAAATTATTGGGGTATTTTAATTTGTCTGGGCCAAATAATTTAATTTGATTTTATTGGGTTTTTTAAATTTTGTGTATTTATGTATTTTATTGTTGGCTGTTCACCGCCCTGAGTCCTTCGGGAGTAGGGCGGTATACAAATCAAATAAACTAACTAAACTAACTAACTAAATATGGATGGTATATAAAAGTGTGTTTCATTTATGTATTGTAATTTCAAACAAAGATGTTCAACTGCATGAAGGGTTTATTAAATAACATAGACCAAAGGTATAGTTAGGAGTGGGTTTCCTTCCAATAATCATAAATTAAGAATAATTACAATATGTTGGAGTTTGACTGAAATAAATCCAAGATCAAATAAAACTCCTGAATGATTATTTATAACCAAGATAAAGGAGAAAGCAAACAAATCCATGTTTCATTCTAGCTTGTGCTTATAAACTAACTACTGGGTTGCTTGTCCCAAAGGTGCTTTTTTTGAAGAGGCAATTGGACTTTCTGGTTTTCCTTTGAAGGCCAGAAAGTCCGGTTGCCTCTTGAAAAAAGCACCTTTGGGGCAGCCATGACCTGGATGACTGAGACTCTCCATAGATACCTGGTTGCTTGAAAGTACAAATGAGCTAAATTCTCTTACCGCTGGCATACATATATATTCTCGTAATATTCTAAAATTACAAATGACGAACAACAGTTATTCCTTTACTGAGAGATTTTTGTGATTGGTAGCTCCCCCCCACCCAAAGTCGTTTCTAATTCTTGGAGACTGCCTGGACAAATCCCTGCAGTTTCTCCCCGCCCTCCCCCCCCCCAAGTTTTTTCAGAAGTGGTTTGCCATTACTTCATTTCTAGGGCTGAGAGAAAGTGACTGGCTTAAAGCCAGTCAACCGTTTTTGTGCCTAAAGTGGGACTAGAACTCACAGTCTCCTGGTTTCTAGCCTGATGCCTTCGACACTATAGCAACCGGTTCTTGTCTTTCTCTTAAAGATAAATGGTGTAAATGTTTAGTCTACTTTTAAATTCTTTCATTTTAAAAAGGTTGATTTTCTAATCCTAAAACCAGATTCATCATGGGGATGGAAACAGAAACGTCTCAACCATCAGATACAGGGGACCGTAGCATGCTCCAATTGCAATCCTAATTTTCCATTACCCTCTTAATAATTAAAGTGTGATCAGATGAAATCATCTGTCAATTCTTGTTCTAATACTGTACTGAAAGCTGAATTCTTCAAGGGTGGCCTTCACTTTGTAGTTCTCCCAAACAGTACTATAGTTTTCAGGAAACCTTTAAATAATGGCTCTCAGGATTAACTAAAACACTTTCCGATAAATTCATGTTATCCCCTCAGTGTTCGCTCAGTTGTTCTATGTGTCAGGGTTCCAAGTAACACCCCAACAAAAAAAGACTCCGAGGCTTGAAGTTCCTCAAAGTTCCATTTTATTAGAGATGTTATATTGGCACATCTGGAAAAACCCAAATCAGAAAGCTTCCAGATTTTCCCCACCCAAAGGAAAGTCCAAGTTCCTTCTCCTGCACCCACATGTCCATCACATGGTCCAACCAAGGCACCGTCCCAACTGGAGATGCCTCCCAGTTCCAGCCTTCCAGGTGCAGGGCAAGATGTCCTTGACTCTCTGAGAAAAGAATGTTATTATGACTATATATCACCCATGGTCCATACAATCCCCCCTCCCAGTTTCCCACAGTAGTAAGTGTGGCAGGCCTGAAGATCCAATGCAAAAGATGGCTTCCAGGCCTGACACTATGTTTATACAACCTTCTGGGAATGTGGTTTTTTTTTTTTTTTGTAAATATTTTTTATTTATTTTTTTCAAATTTAAACATAAATACGTAACTTTCAAGAGCAAAAATCTCGATCCGGTCATAGATGGTTACCACGCTTACATTCCTTTCACAAGCTCAATTCACAATTTCCATTACATCTTTTATAAATAAAGAAAAAAAAAAGAAAAAAAAGAAGATAAAAAAGAAATTCAAAACTTAAGAAAAAACCAATTTTACCTCAAATTTATCATTTTCATCTATATCTACCCAAAATTAGTTTCAAATTCACTTTCACTCATTTTTACATCTGCATAACAATTCTAAACATATCTTTATTCTCCTTTACCTTATATCTTATACAAGTCATATCAAAATAATTTTAACAATATTCTAACCTCTTGTTAAGTGTTTACCTTACAATTTTATCACCATTTATTCTTAGTTTCAATTCAATACCACTCCATTTTTATTATATTTTATAAAACAACATTTTGTCTAATTTTAATCCTTTGACCCTTATCCTCAAATCAGTTTACCTTAGTTTTTTTTTCCCTCCCAGTTTACATATTACACAGATTTCTCACAAAGGCATATTTTATTTACTCCAATTTCTAATATATTTTCCACTATATCTCCCTCTAATATTTAACTATCTTCCAGCTTGTTCTATTTGATTAATTCTCAGCTTGATCCCCTCCAAAACACCAACTATTTAGTTAATTTCAGAAT